CCTGCTCACTCAGAATCATTTCTGCACCAACCATGGCCACCTTTGTGGAGCTCAGTACCAAAGCCAAGATGCCCATTGTGGGCCTGGGCACTTGGAAGGTAAATATGCAAATCTTTGCGCAGCCTTCTTCTCTGGAGGGGCGTTTGGGTGTTTTCTCTGTCTGCATTCAGCCAGGAAAGCCTGGAGGTCGGGCAGGGGTTTGGAGAGGTGAGATTCCATCCTGGAGCCGGGACTCTGGTTGCTTTCTTTTCTCAGAGCTGATTCAGGCTGCAAAGCTCCAAGGCTGGCTTTCCCAGCAGTGCTGAGAGCTTCTCTAGCAGGTATCAAAGTTCAAGCAGCTGTTGGACTTAAAATTGTTTTCCAGGACAGTTTCTCTCTCTGGCTCTAGGACACTTAATTGGGCTCAACGTTTCCCCAGAGTCTTGGCTGTGGGTTTGTTGTGGGCTGGGTGGTTGCGGAGAGGATGCAGAGCCCCAAGTCCTTGGCACCCCTTTGCAGATCAGGGTGTGGGACTTGGGCTAGCAGAATCCATATGAGCTGGGAGCTTGTTAGAAATGCAGAACTGGCCGGGTGTGGTGGCTCATGCTTGTAATCCCAGCACTTTGGGAGACCCAGACAGGAGGATTGCTTGAGCCCAGGAGTTGGAGACCAGTCTGGGCAACACGGTAAGACCCCATTTTTACAAAGAATCAATAAATTAGCTGGGCATGGTGGGACGCACCTGTAGTCCCAGCCACTTGGGAGGCTGAGGTGGAGATTGAGTGTTGAGCCTGAGAGGTCAAGGCTGCAGTGAGCAGTGATGGTGTCACTGTGCTCCAGTCTGGGCAGCAGAGTGAGATCCAAGAAAGAGAGAAAGAGACAAAGAGAGAGAGAGAGAAAGAAACTGCAGAGTCTCAGGCTCTACCCCAGGCTACCTAATGGGCATCTGCACCTTAACAAGATCCCTAGGTGGTTCCTGTACACATTGAAATCTGCAACGTGCTGGGGCTGCAGAGAGCCTGGGCTGGGAGTCATAAGCTCCACCTGGCTGTGTTAATGTCAGCTGGCAAAACACGGTAAGGCACATCCAGGACTCAGTGAGGCAGGTTCCTGAGCCTTTCTTAGGCTAAGTTTGAAGTTGTTCCATCACCACCTCACTCTGCCTTCTTTGCCATTTTCATCCATGATAGCACTACCCTAACTAGCGACCGGAAGCAGTCTTTGGAATTTCTCTTCTCTCCTATCCCTCATGGCTAATGTCCCTGCTGAGTCTTCTGCCTCTGACTCTCTTTCCTTCTGTGCACCCTGATTTTTCCCCTCGTTTGTGCCAAGCTGGAGGGTAGGACACTCTGTTGCCACACTGGGTCATTCTCAGGATACATTCTTGGTTAATCTGGGCGAACTGATCACTTCCAGCTTGATTCATGCACGGCATCTGTTGCTTGATTAGCAAGATTTACTCAAAATCAGAGCTTCAATCCTATATAAATGGAACAAATAATCACTTCCAGAACTGCAGGGAATCTGCTCACCCTGGGTAAGTTTACCAGACTTACCCAAAATTCTGGAATCCAAAATTCCAGAATTTTGGAATTGAAAATAAGAATTATGAAGGGAGCCATCTTCGACATGTGGAGATGATATACAAAAGGATTATGAACTTAGCAGTGGAGGTGAAGAAGAGTGTAGCATAGTGGTTGGGGGCACAGGAGTGTTTCTGGATGCCTGGCGGCCGCCCGTTTCTTCTCCAGGTGGTAGGGCAGCTGTGCATCTATGCTTTATGTTCTTTTCAATGTATGTTATCTCGCAGTAGAAGAGGTTTAAAAGACTATTTTGTGAGAGATCAAGTTTTAAGTGCTTTTTGCCCCCATCATTGGCTTGGCTAGTTTAGAACAAATTATGATAATTCTATTTCTTTTCTTTTCTTTCTTTCCCTTCTTTCTCTCCCTCTCTCATTCTCCCTCCCTCCCCCTTTCTTCTATAGGAATGGAAAACAAACTCTATTCCTATAAGCTTTTCTATTTCTCCTTTTTTCTGAAAGGAAATTGTATAATGAACAGCCTCTACTGAGCCTTACTGTGTGTCAGGTGATTTGCTAAAAACTTAACATTCATTGCAGCATGTCATAACCACAAAGGCCTCAAGAGGCTCTTGCTAATTTTTGCATTTTGCAGACAAGGTTGAGAGAGATTGAGTCACCTGCTTAGACTCACACAGCCAGTAAGTGTTGGAATCCGGATTGATGCTGTAATGACCATTATCCAGATCCTTATCACTGTTTGGGGATATTGTCTGAAAATCCCTCTGGGTTATTTAGAGTCAAGCTTTCATCTGGGTCTTCAGAAAGTTGCAGTGGCGCCATCTGAACTCCCCGACACACCTGAAGACATTTCAGGACTAACCTGGATGAAAGGGGAACTGACTTTAACTAGGACAGGACATAAGGACATAATCATAAAATTAATTAACTTTCCTCCTTTTCTTTTGAAAACTTTTCTAAAGTGTGTATCCTCCCAGATATCCCCTGGCCAAGGAGACCCCAGTGAGGCCTTGGTTTGGAGAAACTGGGCCATGTGGGGCAGCCTATTGAAGGTGGTCTGGAGATAAGAGACTATGTTGGTTGCTGACTGTGGTGTAATTCCAGCTACTCTGGAGGTGGGAGGATTGCTTGAAACTGGTAGTGTGAGGCCAGCCTGGGAAACATGGCAAGGCCCCGTCGCTTAAAAAAAATAATAATACATGTGTGATGGGCTTTTCTTTTGCTTTTCAGTCTCCTCTCGGCAAAGTGAAAGAAGCGGTGAAGGTGGCCATTGATGCAGGGTATCGCCACATTGACTGTGCCTATGTCTATCGGAATGAACATGAGGTGGGGGAAGCCATCCAAGAGAAGATCCAAGAGCAGGCTGTGAAGCGGGAGGACCTGTTCATCGTCAGCAAGGTGCACATGGCGCATTGGGTGGGAGGCCTTCACTTCAAGGCAGGCAGAAGTATCTGGGTCGGGTCGGCAGCGAGATCTCTGTCAGCCTTTTCTATATGTAGCCCTTTTCATCCCTGCCTTGATAACATCCGTGGATACAATTCTATCCATACTCCAAGCCGCTATTGATATTTGAACATGTCGTTGCTGCGCCACCTGCCTGCGGGTTGATTTTCCCACAGTGGGGTTGTCTCCATGGAGCCCTGCACTGCCCTGGGCCTCCCTGTTCCCCATCAGAGGGATCCACCATCTGCCCAGAGGCAGTCAGTGGCCAAGGGTGCAGGCAGGGCTCGATGTGTGGCCTCCCTGTCAGCACTGTGGTCTCCGCCACTGTGTCTCTAAGGTTCTCAGCCAGGGGGCATTTTGGAAAACAGTAGGCGCATATTTCTATTGTCATATATGATTTTTTTTATTCAGTCTAGTAAAAGGTGAGATACACAATGTTATAAAAAAGAAGAGGATGTTGGGTGAGAGAGGGTTGAGAATCACTGGATTTACATTATACACAACTTGCTGAGAAAACACTAGTTCTAGGTACTTGGATATTGCATACATCTGGTGGGACAAATAGATCCCACTGTGTAGCAGCCAAGTGTGGATAAAGCCCTTATAAAGTTATAATTTGGGGCCTGACAGGCTTGATAAGGGACCTATCAGATAGGTCAGATAAAGGACCATCTTTCTCGAAGGCCTAGGAATGCTTGACATTTAAAAGTTACACACAAGTCCTGCTCTCAGAGAGCCCACAGCTGACAAAGAGACTGAGACAGGTAAACACATTTCAAATTTGTGGCCACATTTACTTAAATGATCTGAGAGACATATAGAGTACTAGGAGAGTTGAAAAAGTAAATTGGTTTTAACACTTAAGACATGTCATTGACGTGCTGAGCCCTGGTGATCTTCCACACTGTGTCGTGGATCTTAATCAGCTTTGTTATAAATGGCCTGTGCCAGGTTAGATCAGGGTGCAAATCAAAAGGGAAGGACAATGGGTATAATGTGGCCCTTCCTTTTCTCAGTATTAACAGCTCACTGTTACACTCTTTGCAGTTGGGGCCCACTTTCTTTGAGAGACCTCTTGTGAGGAAAGCCTTTGAGAAGACCCTCAAGGACCTGAAGCTGAACTATCTGGACGTCTATCTTATTCACTGGCCACAGGGATTCAAGGTTTGAGTGACTCCCTTTCTCAGCCTCTAGTTTCTGAGCAGGTGTCAAAATACTAGCTGCACTAGGGCTGGGGGGTGGTATGGACTGGAGCAAGAGACCTTGTAGTTCATAATTGGGAGTGTCAGGTGGTCAGGAAGAGACCTTGGAGCAGAAAGATGCTGGCGTGGAAGGGAGGCTGAGGCCATGTGTGCTGCTGAGGTGGCCACATGCCTGCGTTTTCTTGCAGTTATGTCTGAGAGAAGCCATGATTT